ATAATAATCTCCAATCTTTATCTCTTTGTCTTTAATTATGGTGGTAACATTATAAAAATGGAAAACATTTGATGTAATTTTCAACCCGGTCTGTCGCTGGGGCCGCGCAGCCTGCTCCTCGCGGCTGCCGCCTTCCCGACGGCAGAGACTAGGTCGTGTTTCTCGGTCGTCACAGCCCCAGCGCCCGTTACTGTCAGGAGCCCGGATTGCCCGGGGCGCTGTCTGCCGCCAACGCCGACCTCGGGGGCGGGAACCGGCGCTCCTCGCCGCCGCGCTCACGTCGGAGCGCGACCAGGCAGAGCGACCGTCTGCGCACCTGGGCGCCACTGCGTTCAGGCACCTGCGTGCTGCTCCCCGGCCTGCCGGATCAGAGCGGGGCGGCCCCGCAGGCTGCACGTTCTCCCCTTGACTCCGACGCAGGCTCAGGCTGAGATGCACGGTGGAAGGAAGGTCCGCACCGCAGGCACGGCTGCACCCCAAACTCCGTTCCTCCGGAGGCCCGCCTTGACTCCCAGCTCTGGGAAGCGAACTTGACTAGACTCGGTCTCAAGCAGTCTGGCCTCGGGACTCCACACTCTTAAACACTGACAACCCCAAAGAGCTGTGCATGGGGTTGATTTCTGGTAATATTTACCGTATTAAAATTAAAACGTTTTAATATTAAAGTAGTAAATCCATTACACACTAAAACCATCACACACTAACAAAATAACATTGTTATGAAAAAATAACTCTCCCACTCGCCCCACCCCTCACCCCACAGTGAAGAGTGACATCTTTCCATTTTGCAAACCTCTAATTTCTGGCTTAATAGAGAAGGCAGGTGGATTGGCTTCTGAATTCATTCTGCTGCAATATCACATCGTGTGGCCTCTGGAAAACTTGACCGTACACTTGAGAGAGAATGAGAGTGAGAACGGCAAACAATGTTTTAGTGTTAGCAAAATAATTTTGACTGTAAAAACCTTCTAAAAGGGTCTCAGGGGTCTCCAGGGTTCCCCGGGTCATATGTTGAGAACCATTGGTCCAAAATAATCATTATGGCTTCATTCTTTTCACCAGCCATAAGTTTAGGGGTGGACACAGGCCCCAGTTCTAGCCCAAAAAAAAGGGGGCAGCATGCTGGGGGTTGGGGGAGATTCTAAAGATCTCCTAAGGAAACACTAGAAGACACGACGATTATCCACGTCTGGATGGAGTAACATGACTGCATAACCAGACACAACATCCAGTCCAGAGATGAAATCAACCCGGGCGTACGGTGCCTGGTGCCTGGAGTATTCCTGCCTCGGGACTTCTTGTACGTGAGACAACCTGACGAGTGTGTCTTAAGGAGGCTACGGGTGCACAAAGAGGGAGCAGGTTAATGTAACTGGAGAAACTAAGGAGGCACAAAGAATTTATATTAAAGAATGAGTGTGGAAGAGAGAAAAGGTTGAGGAAAGCCTGAGTATACCGCACCTGTACATGCCATTTATGGGGTCTCTAGTTTTCTCTTGTTAAATTGGTCTGCCTGTCTTCCTCTCAAGCCTCTGCTCACCCCACTGCACCATGCATAATCCTATTCCAGCCTCCACAGGGCCTACAGACACCTGAAGCAAAGAGTATCTCTTATGAGGGAAAATGACAGTTATTTTTTAAATGACTCTTTATTCATAAACTTGATGCAAGTTTACAAAATTTACTGTACATTGCCAAATAAATCTGCAATGAAAAATAAAATCCAAAAAAAATAAACAAACAAAAAAAAACAAAGCATGCCAAATGTGCAGCTGTCAATCTGCTAGCCATCAGGATATTAAAGAATTCAATAATGTATTCAAGATTTAGCCTTAGGTTTAAGGAACTTTAATGCTTTAAAGAATTCTGCCTTGTCACTAGTTATCTGAGCAACTGGCAATCGGAACTGTAACAAACGTTAACCATGTGGACTAGAATGCCAGAAAATCCTTTTCTACCGTCCTCTTAACCACACAAAGCAGAAGTGCCAAGTTTCTCCAATGTGGTTTCCAAAGTTAAAAACTGAATCTTAAAGCAAATGCATAAGAAACGCTTTTGAACTTTGTAACTGGTTTGTGCTTCTGGATTTCATTTTAAAAGTGCTTAATAACTAGAAGTTACTTTTAAATCAAACACGGGTATATAAAAAATCTATTACCGATCAAACAGGACTGATTCGGGTAAGGCATTAAATGGAGCACACTGATTTGAGTCAGATTTTATAAAAGAATTAACACGTAGCTTTCCTATTAGTCTTTCGGTAAAAGCCATTGTTACGACCATAGCAACAATTTTAACGGTCTCCAAATTAGGCATCCTTTTGTTCTTAACTGAGCGGCTTTTGCTCAAGGAGTCTGTGCCGATCACTTTTTAAGTTTATTAGTTTACAAACGATTGCAACATCCCGTTAATAAATGGAAATGTAAAATGACCTAGTCTTTTAAATAACTTTGAGATCTATACTGCAGCTCTTCTTCCTAAGAAATATTGAACCAATAAGAAGCAGATTCAGTCCAGCAAGACTCTGACGCCCCAGTGGAAATTACTACTCACAAGCCTTACTCGCTTCCTCAGCCCAGCTTTGCTTCGCTTTGCCTACAAAGTACAACACGACTCAGTTAAGGGCGTATCTTCAGGAAACAGCTCGGATCTTCACGTGGCCATGAAAAAGCTTAACAGTTTATTGAGTATCCTGTCATTGTTTTGGCAATATCATAAAATGGTTTATACCTGAAAAAGCTGTGACTTAGAAGACCTGAAATCTTCTAAACCAGTATGAAACGTCGATTAAACTTTTATTGGCTCTAAATGGAACAATATACTCTAAGTCCTCATCACGCAGGAGCTCGATGTGGGTAAGTTACCCTAGAGTCGCAGCTTCAGTGACCTGATGCTAACTTGCCTGCTTAACAGATTTCACTTTTCAAGAAAAAGAGATGATAAGGAGTGGCCAGTATGTGTATTTATCAGGAAGGATACAGTAAAGGCCCCACTGCTCAGTCCAAGATACCTAAAATGAGCAAAATGAAAAGGCTATGACTTATACAGGATGTCGGTTGACACATTATCCACTAAAATAATCTATTAGCTAACGTCTTCGGTACTGCTGTTACGGGGCACTCAAAGCTTGTGTCTGCATGTTGGAAAGATTTTCTTTAAAGCAACATTGGTCCAAACATACAACAGTCAACGCATTTAGCCATCTTCCTTCGGAGGGGTGTACCAGCCTGAAACGGAATGGAAAAAAAAGTTAACGTACTTTCATTCTTTTTTTTTAGTATTACCTTTTTAAATTTTATTTTTCAATTACAGTTGACATTCAATATTATATTAGTTTCAGATGTAGAACGTGGTTAGACATTTATAGAATTTATGAAGCGATGCCTCTGATAAGTCTGGCACCATACACAGTTATTACAACGTTATGACTATATTCCCAATGCTGTACGTTATAACCCCGTGACTATTTTCTAACTGCCAATCTGTAGTTCTTAATCCCTCTACTGTTTTCACTCAGCCCCCCTCCAAAATATTTTAATTCTTCAACCAACCAGGAGAAATGGCATTTTATTAAGGTTAGCTACTTTCTCTACTCATAATTTTCATGCTTAAACCTCCTGTAAAAATGAAACTTACACTTATGTTGGCAACAAAGCATTCGATATGTTCACAATACAGGTGCTCAGTGACTGAGGACGGGGCGACGTGCCCACTTCACACGCGCATCAGCCCACACACGGTCAGGCAGAATCATCTAACACAACGAGCACACTGCAGAGCAGCGGTCGTTGACCCTTGTGACCGCGTGGCTGACTGGGAGCTGCAGCTCGCTGCCTCTGCCCAGCGTCACCGCAGAGTACCACACCGTGTGTGCTAGCCCGGGAAAACAGCGAAATGCAAATTCAAAGGGAGGTTTCTACTGAGTATCGCTTCCACATCATTTTAAGGTCAAAAAATCCTAAGGCGAACCATCACAAGTTGGGGACTGACTGTATAAAGGCATTTTCTGTGAATAAATGGTACTCAAATTTTCAACATAAGATCTCTATGTTAATGGCATTTCTAGCTAAAGATGACATGTAGAATATCAGCTGAGTTTTGTGTTCCATTTCGATTCTGTATTTCAAAGTAAACCTCACTGAAAATAACTTTCCCCCAAACAGAATCCTGGCATTTTAGAATAAGAGGAACTTGGACACTTGAGTGCGGTGATGTCACTTCACTAGCGAGGAAGCCAAGTCAGCAGGTGCACTGACTATGCCTAAGACCAGTTCGCAGCAGAAGCCAAACCAGACTCCATCTCTCGATCCTGCATCTTCCGCCACGGCTAAGCTCACGCACACCCCGCACTCTCGAATACAGCACTTGCCATAAGCATTTTTGAATGCTGACTGCAACGTTTGTCTTAGAAACAGATAAGAGATAAGAAAAATATGATTGTTTCCAGACTCGACAAAAACCTAAGCTCTGAGCAAACGAGACCAGGCTGTTGTTTGGTACGGTGCTGCCATGGAACCAAACGAGCACGCCAAGGCTGGCGGAGCATCCACGAGGCCATGAAGTCGTGGGGGCGCCTTCGGGTCTGCTCATTTAGGGTGCTGGGGACCATTATCCTGAGAACTCGGCCTTGGCCTCGAGTCTGATCATTTCCTTATTCAGAAGCTTGAAACTGTTTTGAAGAGAGGTACGCCTCATCTTACGGTGCTTCCCAGATGTTGCATTTTTCACGAACTAAAGGCAAGACTTCCACCAGCAAAATGATGACAACCCGCTGTATTGCAACACTCGCTTTCCTATAGTGGTCGGGAACCAAAATCGAAATATCTCCAAGGTGTGCCTGTACAATTCTTTTGCAAGTAAGCAGTCACTGCAAAAGTGACAAGTTTACTTTGTCATTAAAATAAAAGTCAGCACAAAGCACAAATCCTAAGTCATCGCATTTCTAGCAAAGTAGAGTTTACCGTAAATATCCTTCAAAGGAAGCCACTTACTATTTCTATTATTTACTCTGCATAAAAAAAGGATCGGCCTCCCGACCACAGCTACAACGAGTATCTTACTATCAGCTCTTGGTTACACAGTACTTCGGTATGCACGCCCCTCTTCCTCCTCACAAGTTTGGCAAGACAGACACCCTGCCAACTTGAGCAACGAGGAAGCTGAGGCTGAGCGGTAACAGAACTGGCTCGGGGCCACAGAGCTAGTGACACAAACGGCACTGAGAATAGGTCTTCGAACTCCACGTCTACTTGCTTTATTACCACACTGTCAGAGACGAAAACTGCAGAGGTGCACCGTGAATTCGAGCAAAATTTAAATGAGGCCATTAAGTTTACGAAAGAGATTTTGAGATTTGTTTAAATTTGCGATTCACAGACTCTTAAGTGGATACTGAAATTAGAATTGTTTTACTTGACTAGATAAATGTGTACGATCTCGTCAAAAAACGCTAAGTAGTTTGAAGATGTTTCAAACAGCCGGCTCAGGATCTTGATTGCATTTACTCAGTATTAACAATAAGCTCCACTCGCAGAGTGACCTTCGCTCCGTTCCTATCTTAATACTGTGTACTTTCAGCGAATAAAATGATTAATTCATTAATCTACTCGAAAAATCTTGATTCTGACTCAGAGGTGCTTGAGCTAAGTATTTAAGACACCAACATTTTGAATGAAGTAGTGCATGTATCCTCAGGCTAATTCTTTTCACTGCTGTAACTATACTTTATAAGAAATTAGAGCAAAAATGAAAATAAAGCAGGACAAATATCAACAGTACATTATGTAAAACTTCATAAATAGCAATATATACATATTGAATTAAACGTACCATTTTTCTCGTGTATCTGCACAATGGAATTATAAGACTGTTGGGCTCTTGCTAGATTATACTGATTCTGAAAGAAAATTATACATTTTAAATCAAAACTCTTAAGTAGATGAAAATCATGACAAACGACTTACAGAAGGGTCACTGCTGTACCTGAACACACGGAACAATTATATTTCTAATCTCAAAAAGAATTTTAAGCGACTACCCTCATTTCTCAATTTCATTATTCTCTACTATTTTAGAAGGATAACAAAATCAAAACTGTACTCCAACAAAAATCTACGAGCTTCACAGTTCGGAGTCCCTCTCCACACGGGTGAATCAGTTAAAGGGTGCTCTTGGGACCTGAGTGGAACTCAAACTCTCTTCCTCCTGACTTGTATCCAAAATATATTAAGCTTTAAGGACTACACAGATAAATGACATTTGGAGTTCAAAATCTAAAGAACGCCCGTAAGTGGCACCGAGCCGTTACTAAAGGAGCCCTGTTTTAGAACCTCTTTCAAGGAGCCAAATTGGGATTAATTTTGTCCCCCTCAGTACAACCGAACTGCATCTTAACTTCCAACTACTATGTCATGAGCAGTCTCCACAGTGGTACGCACCTATTATATTATGCCACAGAACTTTTTTGCAAATAAATTCACGCAGCACGAGAATAAAAAATGTGTTAAGACATTCTAAGGGGAAAGTCTCCTTCCTACCTATCCTCCCGCCATTTGGAGAGAGGGGGAGAAGGAGGGAGGAGAGGCAGTGGGTGGGGGTTCAGTTCCAAATCTTTTTAAATTTTCATGACTTTTTTTAAACCGTGATTTAGAAGTGCATTTAATTTCCAGTTTCGTGTAGATTATTCTTCACCTTTTCGTTATGGTCTTCCAAGCTTAACTGCATCATATTTAAATATATGCTCCATATGGCATCAATTATTTTTTAATATTCCTACCTGCTTTATGGATTAATTTACGATGACATGTTTTTCCATATGTTTGGGAAGGATATGTAGTTATCTAATTACTGGGTACAGAGTTCTAGATTTGTCCATCAGACCAAGCTTGTTAATTGGTTATTCAAATCTTCTACATATTTGACATGTCTGCTTAACTTACCACGAGCAGGTACATTAAAATCTCCTACTATAATGGTGAATTTGTCAATTTTTCCTTGTAGTTTTATCAGTTTTTAATCTGTATTTTCAGGCTATTTTAATAGGTGCAGAAAGTAAAAAATTATACCCTCCTGGTTAACTTAGGGGTTTATCATTCAAGCAGTCACTAATGCTTTCTGCTCCAAAATCATATTTTGTTTGACGCGACAGCTACGTCTCATTTATATCTATTGTGGCTGATTTATTCGGACTGGCTCCTATCACCTGACTTTCTGATTTCTATCTCTCTCGCTTTTTAATATAGTTTTATTATCTCCTCCTGAGATCCCAACAAGACATATTCTAGACGTTGCTCTGACATCCACTTCATAGCTCCTGCCACGCTGCCTATCCCACGCCTCTCCATGCAACATTCTGAGTTGTTTCTTCTAATCAGTTCTCTCTTCTGATGTCTAATCCATTTATTGAGTTTCTCATTTCGGCAATATTTTTTATTTCTATAAATTCTATTTCATTCTTTTTCACATCCGTCTCATCATTCCTGATGCTCTTATTGTTTGCTCGATTTTATTATTCTTTTTTCTTTAGATTTCACATATTTTCATTTTCTCACAATTCTATTATCTAAGTCTCCATTCCGTATCTGATAATTCTAAAACCTCGAGTCTTCGGGACTAAATACCTCTTCTTCGTCGTGTTTCCCAGCTCTCGTGTGCTGGGTTGCCCACCGTGTGTGCTTGTGATCTGTCACTGTGAATTCGTATTCGCTTGGTCTCAATCTCTGGGGATCCTGCAGGCTTAAATCAGAAATGCGTGCCTCTAAAGAGTCTGTGTCTGGTTCTGATGAGAACGTGGACACAGCCAGCACTAGACCGCTTTTGTACGCTAACCGTGGAGAAACCCAGGGTCACGCGAGGGTCTCAGCATCGGCTCCCCAACCTTGCTCGTTTATGAAGTGAAGCCTGGACCTCTTAGTCTAGGTAGCAAGCCCCGCTCCCTGGAAGGGAAACAAAAGCCAGATGGCTCACGGGAATGGGATCACCCAGGGATCTCGCAGGTCAGGAACGGGGCTAACGCCAGACTATCTGGTTCCAGACCTGGCTCCGCCACCTGTGACCTTAGACGAGATGCCTAACTTCTGTGTGCTCCGGTTTCCTCGTCTACAAAATGAGGGTAATAAGAGTGGCTACTTCGAGGTTATTAAGAGGACTGAAAAAATTAAGACGAATAAAAAGTTTAGATTAGAGCCCAGCACATAAATGCTCACTGGGAATTAACTACATATATACCAATAACAAAATCCAAACTATAGACATGTTTATAGTAAAAATAACAAAGACTAAAATAAAAAGACAGGAAGAAGCCTCATAAGATAACGGGAACTCTATCTTATAGTTCACGTGACATTCGTAATGAAAGTACCTTGTTTGCTCCAAACTGCACTCTGGCTTTGCCTTTGACTAAGGTGGCATTGATCTGCATGATGACCGACTCTATGGAGTAGGCGCTGCTCCAGCCCTACAGGGGGAAGAGGCAATGAAATTCCCAATCCCCACTTGGGAGAGTGTCATGAAAGGGCATGTGACAGCTCAACAACAGCGACTGACATTAAGGAGTCTGCAGTCAAGAAGGAAAACTAAAGTTGGACCATTTCCAAAATTTCTCACACACACACACGCACACGCACACGCACACGCACGCACACGCACGTGTTCTAAATGCAAAACGTGAGCAAATTATGACTTTAAATAAATATCACTTTCTGCCTCTCCTAGCACAGATTAAGCACAAAGTACAATGTCATTTTACTAGTTTACGTAGCTTTTTCATTATGTAAAGTAGCTATTAAAAGATAATAAATTTTTAAGTAGGTGCTATTAAACGAAGATTTTCCACTCAGAATCTAACTTACATAAATCAAAACAACCTATGGAAGCAGAAAAATATGAGTACCACAAAAAAAAAGTCACCTGTTTTGTGAGAAGTTCCATACACAATGCACCGCCGCCCAACACGTACCTTAAACAGAAAACAGGAATCATACAAAATTCTCTAGATTTCAGTACCCCTTCTTGACTTTTGAAGTACCATTACTAAGAAAGTATGCATACATGTAAAGATTAGAAGATAACACAGAAAAATGAAAACAGCTATTAGGGTTACAGGACCGTTACGGGCAATTTAAAAATTCTAATGTCATTGTTCTAATTCAGTCGATTTTTTAAAAATAGTACTCTTAGTAACAGAACACTCAGACCTTAACATACAGATGCTAGGAACCCAGCCTCAAGTACTGCAGAGAACAGGGGCTGGAGATTCAGTTTCCCCGAATGGTATTCGAGAAATCTGAAAATTTCTCTGCCATCGTGTTGCACGGCCAACGGTTTTCCTCCAGCAGAAGCAATGACTTTACCACAGCTGTAGTGATGAACATCTGCAGTGATGCCTTAAGTTGTTTTTGTCCTCTCTGCTGCGAGGATCACATGGTCTGGCCCTGGAGCCCCTCTCTGGGACACCTCGATTCCTCTCGCTCGTGCTGAGGACTGTTCTCGGAACCAAAGACAACGTCTGGGGATTCCCAGGTCTCTTAGGAAGTCATTATTTAGATCGAGATCCTTCTGCCTTGTGACACTTTCTCAAACAAAGTCATTTCCTCCTTTAAAGTTATTTTAAACTTCTAAATACATTAACTAGATGCTCTAAAATAAAGAGAATGACAACTATAGAAAAACTGTGGACATCCTGAAAATACATAAGCTGCAGACCACTGATTAGGTCCAAGCGAAAACTAAGCCTACCACAATGTTTGCCCGTCCTCTAGGACTCTGCCTTTCCTGTCCCTGAAACTCCGTCTGCTGCCCACTCTTCCGAACCCTACACCGCCCCCGCCCCGTAAAACCTGCCTAGACCATCTAGCCTGAGGACTCCGCATTCTGGCTACCGAATGCATCCTCATGTTGACTAAACCAAATTATTTTACAGAGCAGTAAGGAATCTAAAAACTTCTACTGTAGACCATACCATGAATAGTAATAGTTACAGTGAAATTATTCAGTAATGGGAAGTATTCAAGAACGCCCCATCCTGGAGACTTCAAGCAGCTGTCTCTTACTCGCTTGTCCCAAATGCTGGGAGCTTTCGTAGTAAAAGTTTAATGGGAGGGGGGAAAATCCAAAATATTAAATTTGGGTGGAGAATCATGGGATTTTAAACTTCTTTGTACGTTCTCCCATGCTCCTGGACAGAGGATTCTGTCCCCAGTTCTTCGAATGGCGTGCCGGGCTCAGAGCGTATCCTGTACGCAGTGAGCTTTAAGCGCTTGATCTCCGGTGAGATGACGGAGGAGGCCGACGCTGTGCTCGCCTCCGGCCACCACCACAGGAAAATCAAAACTAAATTACAGAACGATCGCCACTGAGAACCGCCTGACGACCAGCTGAACAGAGTCCTCTAAGTCAGGACATAAAGAAACAGCCATCTTGAGACAGGTAGGAGGGGTGGAGGCCAGGAAGGGGGCTGGCCCTACAGCCACATGTGGTGGTTAAGGATCGGGAGGGGATGTCTCTACTGTGGAGGTCCCCCGAGGGGTCAGGGGCCCTGGCGCTGCACCGGGCTCCCCAGCCCGGGAAGGACTCCCCAGTTGTCCGCTGTACAAAGCCGTGGGGGGCGCATCTCTGAGAGGAGGGCTGCGGGGCCAAGGCCCCCTGGAGGGGCCCATGCTCGGGTTCCCTCGCCCAGGAACTCCCCACTCGCTCCGGGCTCGGGCACAAAGCCCCGCACCAGGCCACCGACACGACATAGCCGCCGAAGGACCCGAGAAAGGGAAACGAAAAGTTTTTATATTATAGCCAAATTCCTGACAGTGATCGGATGTAAACAAAGCCAAGGAGGGGGCAGGCCTGTCGGCCCAAGTCCAAGGGTCTGACCCTGCCCTTTCTCAAGGTGAGGAAATGGGCGTGGAGTGTCACAGCAGAGCCCCAGGACGGCGGTGAGAGGTGGCACTGGACCCGGGCCCCCCGGCACAGAAACGGCCACGGTGCTCTAGAGGTCCGCGGGCTCTCTCGCGGATGACTGGGGCAGGAGGACCCCGGCCGAGGACGCGTCTCCAGCGGCCTCCGAACAGCCCCATCGCAGCGTTCCAGCGACGTGAAACACGGCCACCAGCCGCGGTCCAGACACCGCGCTTAGCTGCAGCCTCCTCCTGGGACCGCGAGCCCTTTTCACCAGGGCTTCCGCTTTCTGCTTCTTCCCAAGTCAGCCAATAACTCCCCCTCCTCACCTAACGGCTGGCCGTGGACCCCGAGTCTTTACATTCTGCCTCAGGTTAGCATTCACCTGTCACGGGCCGTCCCGCCCACTACTACGGTCCCAACTCGGGTTGTCACCGCTTCCCTCTCTCAGTGGCGTCAGCTCCTAACTGGCCTCTTCTGCCGTCACCAGACTTACGTCTCTAAAACATTCTTTTCACTGCTATTTCCCTGCTCCTGAACCAGTTAAAGAAAGATCTGCTCACCGAGTAAAGAAAACCCGCCATCGGCCCGTGGTCCTGTCTGGCGACGAGACATCCCGTCAGCAGTTCCCTGCCCCTCCCCCGTGGGAGGACATGTGCGTCGATACCCGCCCTCCACCCCCGCCAGCTGGCCAGGCTGAGACCCCGTCTGCTCTGCCCAGGTCCCTGTCGCCAGAGCTGGTCCCTTCCTTCAGCTCAGAGCTTCAGTCTACACTTAACATCTGACCATCGATGGCATCTCGCACTCGACAGCTTTCATGTCTTTCTATATTGCCGGCTTTTGGTAGACTGGAAAAACCAGTTAGACAACTTATTTGGATAAGTCACAAGCTGACTTATTCAAATTACTCATTTGAATAATGGACAGATCAAAATTATTTTTTTAAATATTATATTGTTGCTGACATGTACTACGCAGTCAGGCTAGGATGGCTGCACCTGTACTGAAGGTGTGAAGACTTTTTCTTGTTCCCTAAACGGTACAGTGTAACAACTATTTACACAGCATTTATGCCGTGTTAGGTATTGTAAGTAATCGAGAGATGATCTCAGGTAAATGAGAAGATGTGCAGAGGTGACGTCAAGTGCCCCGCCGTCTTACGTAAGGGGCTTTAGCATCCTCGAATTTCGGTGTCCCTGGGGGGAGCACTGGAATCAACCCCCCTCAGACACAGAGGGCCGACTGGATTCACCGAGGACTTGCTCAGTGCCGGGAACTGTCCCAGGTGCTGGAGAAATACAGGGAAACAAAGCAGCTCCCATCCCAGCAGTCGGTCCTGGAGCCAGTCGCCTTCCCTGCCCAAGGGACAGCGATATTCACCACTTTAGGTGTCTGTCTCCACAGCTAGGTGGCAAATTATCTAAGATCATAAATTCTTAAAATTCTTGGGATTTCTCAGAACAAAAAGGTGAAAAATCTATGCCCGTCGAGTTTATATCACTTTTCAGAATGATCTGATAAAAATTTTGTTTGTCCTGAATTTACAAAATTTTTCCAAATCCTTTCCTTATTCATTTGTAGCTGCCTTTATTTTTTAATCTCAGTGAAACTATTATTATATCAACCAAAGAGGTGATCTAAGTAAACGCTGAATGTTTCTAGATTTTAATCACCGTAACATGGATTAACTCATGAAGTGGAACTGGCCAGCTGAGCACTTCAGATTCTCAAAGTAGTTCAACTGCTCCTACTTGGAGGGCCTGCAGACCGCTTCGCCACTAACCTAGGTACGAGTTCCGGTCTTTCCCCACCCTCCCTATGAGTTCCAACCACGAAAAAGCAATGGGAGCGAGGGAAATGCATGACAATTACCATGTGACTCCGCCTTCAGAGGAGACTCCATGGCCAGCTCGAGGCCCATGAGATTGCCTGTGACTTCCTAGGATCATGGGCCCATGGGAATCACTTTGTAACCCGAACTTTCCCTAAGCGCTCAATCACAATTTATATTTTAAAGACATTAGGTTTTTCATGGTAAAATATATCCACATAGGGGCCATTAAAAACTCTACCTATAAACAACATAATGGTTTATACCAGTGGTTCTCAAATCGTGGTCCCCAGACTAGCAACATCGGCTTCACCTGACACTGCCATAGAAACGTACATTCTTAGCCGCCCCCCTCACTCGCTCAGAAACTTCGGGGTGAAGCCTAGCATTAGAGGCCTCCCCGCATCGAACGAGGCTTCCAAAAGACTCTGACACGCACCGTCAAAGAAAATCATCACTAAACTTACCCTCCCGAGAGAACAGGCAACACCACTCGAACAAACGGAGGATCAAATGGGAAGTTATCCTAAAAAGCAAATAAGCACGTTTAATGCCAAGAATATCCTTAATAGTACATTTAGGAGGTTTTAAAATAGTCTATAAGGAGTGTGGACACTTATTATCTGACGATGAATGAGGGTCATACGAGTGAAAATAGGACCAAAAAAATAAAATGAAATAAAAAAACAAAGCAGATGGCCCAAATACAGCCATGATGTGGTAAATTCCTGAACTGCATGAAGGGTCCCCTGACAGCAGAACCATACAAAGCAACAGCCCGGTAAAGACAGACTGGGTACTCGGGATCAATCCTCCTGCGGAAAACTGGAGAAGGTGGCAAAATGTAACCATTACAGAGCTCAGAGGAGGAAGGAAAGGGACCCGGAGAGCAGGGCCCCGTTCGCCCCGTGGGTTTTCTCTCCATGGCAGAAGAGGAAGACAGGAGTTCGGACGCCGAGCAGGGCTCACAGGTCGCTGGGTAGGGCGCTAAAAATAAACCCTGGAGCTCGGTGTCCACGGAGGGGAGGCCTCATCCGCCCCCGCACTGTAGTTGGGGCCCTGAAGGACACACTGCAAAGTACCCCGGCTGACAGGGAGCGCTGCCCTGCTTCACGTCATCTCAACCCCCGTGTGACTCAGTGACCCAGGGCTGCCGGTGCCCAGGCGCCCGACAGGCCGCGTGTGAGTCATCTCTGGAGAAGGGTACCATCCAAAGCGTCGGACCAGCTCTTCAGCCCTTCGTGTATTGTGTTTATCGCTAAAATAACAGTTATGTGAGACCTAATGACAACACGGCCAGAAAACGAGAGGCAAACGACAGACACAAAACCACAAGGGATGGAGATGACACAGTCAGCAGACACAGATTTTAAAATAGCTATGCTGATTATGTGCAGGAAAAGACTGAAAACCCTGGGAGAGAACTAAAATAATAAAAAGGAATTGTACAAAAATCCTGAATCATAGAAATACCATAACTGGAATTCATAACTTAATGGACGGTTCAACCGCAGTGGAGACTTAGAGAAAGAGAAATTCGGTGTACCAGAAAATGGGTCAGAAAACATCCAGAACGAAGCCGAGAGACAAAAAAAGGTGGAAAACACAGAAAACAAGACACGGGGGAATGCACCGAAAGATGTCATGTGTAGAGCTCCAGAGGAGAAGAGAGAAGGAAAAGCAGCGAAATCTGAAGAGAACGAGAATTTTCCAAAACTGATAGAGGACTTCACGAGATGTGAGCGCTCCAAATGCTTCGAGAGAAGCAATGGGAGCCATGCTAAGGGAATGACTCCCTCGAGGCGCTGGAAGAAAGGAGTTTCCGATCTCGAAATCCATACCAGAGAAAATGCTTTCCCAAACTTCAGGCGAAAGAAAGACATTTTGCTACCAGCAGACCACACTACAGGAGATCCCGTAGGATGCTCTTGAGGCAGGAGAAAGGTGATCGTAGATGGGAACCCGGAGAACAAAGGCCGTGAACAGAGCAAGTCTGTGCGGAGACCGAAACGTACATGGACTCATTACGAAACAACGGGCGTCGGGTTTCAGATGGAGGAAACGGAAATGCATGACAACGGCTGCACTTACCCCGCGGGGAGTACGTGTTCCGAGGTCTCTGCATTTATGAGGAAGAGGGAAGATATAAAGGGACAAATCTATGTTCGACTTTGACAAGTTAAGGGTGTGTGTGGCAACCGGAAGGCAGTGAAGGAGAGTAAAGAACGCACGATTACCAAGCTGACGGAGGCAGGGAACTGGGGAACGGAAAGAAATCCGAAAGAACGAGAAAAAGCAAGGAGCCAGAAGGACAAACAGAGAGCACCTAGGAGACGGTGGAGTTCAACCCGGATTTCAAAACGGTAACGAACACACTAAGCGCTCGCTCCTATTAAACGACCAAGATCGCCCGACTTCACAAAAACACGCGGACAGAAGATGAGGGAAAAGCACCCTCGGCTCAATCTCAGGCGACCGAGCAAAATGCTCGGGCCTGGACACTGAGGTTTCCAGAAGAAGAGGAGCCTTTTCTCTTGAGGAGCTGAAGCAAAGACAGTAGTCGAGGTGGCCGAGTGAGAGGTCAGCCCCTTGGTGGGCAGGCCAAGGCCGCCCCTCAGCTCCCTGCAGCAGCAGGTAGAGGACCAGCGTGCTACCTCCGAGAAAGCTGTCAGGAGGCCAAGAGAATCACCTCCAACCTTCTACGTTCAAATAAAAGCGGGTAAAGAAACAACGAACGACCCATAAAACCGGTGTGAGGGAAGGGAGCCCAACAGCATGTTTCACCCAGGGATCTGCTAGGAACACAAAAACACAGTTAACTTAGAGAACAGGCAGCATAATTCCAATGACTTACTTCGACTCCCTACCTGTACCCATCGTCGAATAAGATTCCGAGGAAGCTCTAAACTATGAAAATCCAATCCTAATAGGAGTGGAAATAAAAAGCACCTTTCTGGTGACTAAAACAGATAATCTTAGATTTCTACACTATGTATCTGCGTTGCTGCACAACTGTTGCACAAATTTTTCTTCTCGATTTAAAAAAACAGGTCAAAAAGAAGCTCCATACAATTCAAACATAACCCCTCGGAAACACTTCCTGGTATTTTTTAAAAAATAATTTAAAACTGCTACACTTAGGTTCCATATTAGACCCTGCCATTTTATCTATATTCCATTGCTATTCTTTTTTAACCTTTATTTTTAACATCTTAAAAATTACTTCATTAAATATGGCACATAAACTCAGAGAAGTGCATAAAATACAAAGGTACATCATTACACAGTGTGTGAAACATGTGCCATGTGACCGCCCCTGGTCAAGACACAAGAAGCCACCCCGTCCCTCTCCCCTAGATCCAAAACTGCATGGGACTCAAACCTTTGCCTTTCTTCATAGTTCTGTTGCTCAAGTATGAATCTAAAAATCCGATTCTCGGGCTTCCTTTCATTTTCGCCCCACTAAGAAGCCTTTCTAGAAAATTTTTCCTCACTCTACCCCTCCCACGAAATTTTCGCGCCACTAAACGGCGTGTATCTGTTTATGTATTATAGCCCCTTGAAGGGCCACAGGCCATTATCTAAGAGTAGTTTACTCCAAGGACCAATTTTCACCCCACTGCACGGTGACACTGCCTCCACTGAGAATGCGTGCCCTAAACGACGTAATTTAGTTTTACCTACTTTGAGCTTTATATGAATGAAAATCGTCCGAATGCCGCGGTCCTCCTTTCTGTTGGAAGAGACCCTTATTTTTATTTGAGGCTACGATGAACAGTGCTGCTCTGAACATCCTTTACGTGTCCTCGTCACCCGAACACTCACTTCGTCCAGGGTGCCGACCTAGGAGAATTTCTGAGCCACACGCAACGACGATCTCCTACGTCACCAAGTAATTCCCAGTCGTTCTCCAAAGCGAGTGTACAAATATACATTCCCACCAGAAGCACACGGAGTTCTCCTACAATTTTCTTACCTTAAAGGAAAAGTTAAGCAAAATATATTCTATGCCTTCTTTCTCTTTTAAGATCTGAAGATCACTGTGCAAAGGACTATCAGGATCGACCCTATGAATTACAAAAAACAGAAAGTCAGAGATTTTTTTCGTACTAAGCTCAAAAACGGACCAGCCCAAGAGCTGAAACAGAGCCCCTGGGATAAGTTACAAACAGAGAACATCTAAACTACTCTGTGGTCCCTGGAAAAACCAATCACTACAGCCTCCGACCCCTGGGATTAAATGTTCACGAGAAGACCACAGTATCCTAAATCTATTCCGCTAAGGATTCAAAGTTAGCAGTCATCCTAAAGGAAATGGTCATAAAGTTGTCTCTAAAATTGTATTATTAGATAAGGGGTTCAAGGAGAGAGAAAATTACCATGGACGAGACTAGAAAAAGTGAAATCACTAACGAAAGTTAATTTGTCTAACAAACGTTCTACATGTTCAGGTCCTACTCAAATCCTGTATTTCAATATAAGCTGGTTATCACAGTCGATCTCACCAAGTTATGAAAGACACTTTGGTTTCTATAGTTTGTGTTTCTAACTCCGTGAACTACTTTATCCCACAGCCGGTCCTTTTTCTCCTTCCTCTTTCTCACTTTACTTATCACAGAGCCTAAGAAACAGCTCATTTTAACACCCTGAGAACTACTAGAGAAACAGGGTCTAAAGTTCTAAGGAAAAGCCATAGTATAAAGGTATCAGATTCAGGGGGGAAAAAATCTCCACTGTGATAGTCTCCCACGACAACCTTACAAAGGGTGGGTTAGCTTAAAAAAGGCCACTTACTTCTGCAGTTTAACATGCCAGTCATATAAACTGTCATTTATGAGTTCCACTGAATAAATCCCTGTAAAGATACAGGGCGTGTTAGTTACTCTTCAGTTAATCTTATAACTATTACTCTGCTGGAAATGTATACACTAAATAACCATCAAAAGCTAGAAATTTTGCTATTAAAACACAAAACTGAGCTATGTTGTAAATATTTGCCACTGAAGCTGGGTATCTTACGCCCTTCACAGATAATTAGAGCCGTGAATGAAGCGGCTTCTTTAACGAGCTGAGAAAATATTTACCACTGTCTGTGAGGAGGACAAAACCGCAAAATCACATGTACTTAAGACTTTTCTTCTATGCACGTGCCAACGTTTCTGTAAAAACGGAATCCCTCTACATATAGTTTCTTCAACTTTCTGGGGCATCTTTCCAGCTTAGTGTATAGCAACCCGTTCTCAATCTTCACGATAATTCTGTAGTAATTATTTTATTTTATGGATATACCATAAAATATGCGGTATTGACCAATTCCACCCTATCTCTGATTTTTTTTGCTACTGCAAACAATGCTGTAAAAACCAAACGATTTAACGTTTAAAGATGTTAGTATTCAAATATTTAACTACATGCTCTTAGGTTTCTACACATGAAGTTTTAGACTTTTTGCAAGAAAAACTGTTAGGACACCAAAACTTCTAATAACTCAGAAGTAAGTTTGGCTTATCTTGTACGCTATAGAGCACTTTTTATGCTTATTTTTTACTTTTAAGTAAGCTCTAATGATTTAAATTTGATTCCTCAGAGAATCTGTACATGGATCATATAACATACTGGACTATAACACCACGCTGTAGCAAAAGTTACGTGAACGTGTCTCCCACTCATGCGGTCTGATCACCGAGACGGCAGCTGAGTGGCCAGTGGGCAGGGGCCGTGTACAGTGTGGACACGCTGGATAAAGGGATGATTCGTGTCCCAGGCGGGACAGAGCGGGAGGGCACGAGATTCCACCGCACTACTCAGAACGATGTACGATTTAAAACTTACGAATCGTTTACTTCTGGAATGTTCCACTTAATATTTTGGGGACACAGTTGACCGTGGGTAACTGAAACCATGGAAAGCAAAATAGCGGATAACAGGGGACCACTGTAAACGCACCCCATTTTATCCCCCACATTTTTGGATAACTTAACTACATTTGCACTTCACGTCCCTAAAACTTAATAAACATTTCTGCTTCTGTCCATTGATTTTATGAGAAATGAACTTTACTACCTGAAAATTGAAAAGAGCATAAGGACAAGAGAGGCAGCAGAGACCCGGCGGGCCTTACCTGTTTTGTAACTCTGCGATCTGTATATGTCCCTGAGCTCTTTCATGAGTCTATCTGAAGCCTGCACGGACCCCGACACGGCACCCTGAAACAGAAACGTGCCGTTTACCAAGATCTACTGAGACAAATAACTAAAGACTTAAGGTATTCGAACCCGAAATAAACACATACGATGAGATTTTGAAAACAGATCACCACTCAACATTTTAAGAAGTCAAAAAAATTAAGTTCCATTAAATCGAAGGTTATGAAGTTTCAAGAGGACAGTAAAATTGGGGACAAGCCTGGTCATATACCATTTCTTATCATCTGGGAAAAAAAAGTCTAACCAATATGTCCAGATCACCACGGCTCCTGCATAGCCTAGAACTCAGTACATGTCTATTTCCAACGCCATCATTTAATTGAATTTTCAAATAATTTATTTTTTGGAGGAGCTTTACGTCCACAGCGACAGGGAGAGGAAGGTACAGATACTTCCCAGGACCTGCCCTGCAACACGCGGCCCCGCTCCCCATCCACGCCCGTCACCGGCGGGCACGTTTCTGACCACGGATGAAGCTGCACCAACGTGGCATCGGCACCCGAAGTCCGTGACTTGCCTTGAGGTTTACTTCGGGCTTTGCGCGCCCTATGGGCCTGCACACTGCATGACGTCATGGACCCACCACTACAGGGTACAGAGCACTGCTCTTTGTAGTGTCTCCATGGTTCTGCCTTTCCAGAATGTCACATCGTTGGAATCGTACAGTGTGTGGCCTTTTCAGACTGGCTTCTTTCACTTCGTAATTATGCATTTAAGGTTCCCCTGAGTCTTTTCACGACCTGAGAGCTCGTCGCTTTTCAGCACTGAATAATATGCTGCTGTCAAGATGCGCTGTAGTTCATTGTCCATCACCTACCGAAGGACATCTTGGTTGCTTCTACGTTCTTGGCAATTACGAACAACGCTGCTATAAACATCTGTGTGCAGGTTTCTGTGTGGACATTCGTTTTCAGCTCTTTTGGATAAATACCAAAGAACGCACACTGCTGGGTCACATGGAAAGAGTATGCGTGAATTTGTAAGAATCTGCTGAACGGTCTCCCGAAGCAGCTGTGTCATTTCACATCCCCGCCAGCCACGAATGCGATCTCCTGTGGCTGCACATCCTCGCCAGCACTTGCTGCTGTCAGTGCTCCTGATTTTGGCCATTTTAACAGGTGTGTAGGGGCCCATCACCGTGGTACATTATTAACTAAACAGAGTTCCGGTAATCAGACTGTGAGCAAGAACGCTACACTGAAGGCCCAGTTTACGGCACAGGAAACTGCGAGACAACCTGTTCACCTCCGGGAAACTGGTTTCGGTTATTTTCAGTGTTAGAACATCTCTAAAAATGAAAATGCACCGATATTTTATCCTAAGACCGAACATGAATGGAACCATTTGTCGTAAGACAAAAACATTTGGAATGCCCTTCTGTTAAAAAAATACGACCATGTAAAATTTTAACTGTTGATGGCTGCACGACACTTTGGTAGGAGTCTGGTTTTCAAAGCTCTTACTTCCTAGCTGACTGACGGGCTTAAACCCAGTCTCGTATCTGCAGACCAGGAAGAGTATTTCACACTGTGGCTATGAAGATGACACGGGAAGGTACAAAAAGTTCAAAGTACTTCGTGTCTGTCGTGTGCAAATGTTCAATCATTTGTAGTGGTTTTGACTGTAACATGCAAACTGGAAGCAATCGCAAGATATAGAAAGTATAGTAAGTACAGATGCCACAAACTTTGTTTTTTAATAATTAAGATAACAGCTCAGCTAAATTTCTTTGCTCTGCAAAAACTGAGTTGCCAGTTGAATGAACAGAGTAAGACCACGGGAGGGAGAATCATCTACCTGCCCGCAGCACTTGGCGTCTCCCTGCGTGACGGTTCATTCCCTGGGCTTGAGACCTGTGCCCAGGACGAAGGAACTGGGCCCCAGAGGTCACATGGGGTTGACAGACAGCCCTAACACAGGGCAGGAAGTGGTCAGTGCTCGGTTCCTCGGCCGGACCCTCGTGCTCTGCCTCCCGCTCCGTCTGGGCATTTTGTATACATCGTTCCCATTTATTCTTCACAGAAGTCCTGCGAAAGGTCCACATCTCAGAGCTGAGGAAACCGAAGCCAGTCAGCTGTGTCTGTCCCCGAACTTCACTGCCCCCTGCTACTTCTTATAAAAGAGGCATTAAGTCAAAAGAAAAGTTAACTTTGCTTTGGTCACGACAGGACAGATCCGATGGGCAGCTTCATGAAGAAGAATATGAACTGCACTTTGTAGGAGAGACTCAAATATACAGATCCCAAAAGAGCGGAGAAAGCAGCATAAACCGGCTTGAAAGTGAACAGGAGGTGATTCCGGGACGCAAAAGGCAGGTGAAAAGGGTAGAAAGTGGCTGTCGGCAGCTGAGAACTGTCAAATAAATAAATAAATAAAAAGACTGGGACAACAAACCATGTGGCTGAACCAACGACCAAACGCGCGGGGGCGGGGGGGGGTGGCCTGAGATTGGTATCTTAATGAATTTCCCTGTGTTTACATTATCACCTCTAACTACTTTACTTAACCACAAAAGTCCAGGTCCTAGATATTTACACATACATTTAGATGGTCTTGCCTTTGAGTCTTCCTAATTTTCTCTAATATTGCCAAATTTTCTTTTTCAATTCCTTCATCCTCTGACTTCTTCCCACTAATGGGCTCTTCTTCCTTCATCTCATAGTGATCCAAGTCTTCTATATCCTACAAAAATTAGAAAAATGTTAGCTTATTCAAGCCTATGCCCAAAGTTAAATTATTCTTGACTCGAGAGGTAACAGAAAAGGGAAGATACATGTATTCTACGACGAGGGGTAAAAAGCCTTCATATTCCATTCAAAAGGTTCCCTCCGCTGATATATGTTGTTTAGAAACTACGATCCGAGTAAAGCATATTTAATGGCCTTACAAAGTCATAACTGTTACCAAACAGCCATCGTTTGAATTTCCGATTAAGAGGGGCTTTTGAAACAATTTCGCATCACGGCACCGAGAGCCTTAACTGCCCGCACTCTGCTCCAGCGGCTCGACTCGCTGTCTCCACGCTTCCAAGCTGACCGGTCCGCGGTGATTTCTAGAACAGGCTGACGACCCCTCCACCCAGACTCAACGCTTTTGCCCTGCACGCCTTCCTCCTTCAGACCCCATCCGTGCGTCAGGCTTCCTGGGGCTCCCTGGGGCTCCTGCCCCGGTTTGCACCTGTCAGCCCTGATCTCCTCCTCACAGACGCCCTGAGCCTGAATCGCCTCTTCCAACACCTTCAACGCCAGCCACACTCCTGTCCATGGGCCTGCTCCACTCGCCATGTAAACCAGCACAGAACAAAATTCATCATCATCGCCGTTTAAAACAATATCCCCAACACACCATTCTCTGCATAAGGCCTTGCCATCGACAATTACGCCCAAGAGAAACACCTCTGTCCCCAATTCAAGACCGAGCCGCCTGCGTCTTCTAGCCAGCCAGCCTTGCTTTTTCCATGACTGCAATACACCAATCTTCTTCTCCCAGAAGAACGGCATCCGGCGTGGCCAAACGCCCTAGGCCCTGGGCTCTCCTGGGCCTTCTTTCATTTATTTTTTTATTTTTTAAATTTTCTTTAGGCTTGGCAACCCTTGGTTGACCTCACAGACTGCAAAGACCTTGTCAGCTTATGATCCCTTATTTTTTTATTTTTTACGCCTACAGCGCCTGGTCTTCCGAGGTGGTCTCCCATCCAAGTACTAACCAGGCCCGCCCCTGCTTATCCTGGGCCTTCTTTACCATGTTATTTTAGTTGCCCGGAACATTTCTTCACCCGTCCTAACCTGACATTGCCAAAGTCCAGTCTCCCACCTTACGAGACTCCCCTCAACGGTCTGTCCCTTCTTCCTGTCACCTTGTGAGGGAAGAGAAGGTGCATGAGCTCTCTGTCTACTTCCCTGCACACTGGGCCCGGGGGATACGTTTACTATTGCCGCCCATGTTAAACTGCACGAAAACATTAAAAACAAACTCTGTCACACAAAAAAAAGTCATTCTAACTGGACTCGCAAAACAAACCCACAACAACTTCTCTGGTTCTCAGGCACTCTGAGAAATGTATTTTAGATTTAAATTGTTCCAAATCAAGAGAATAAGGTAATAACCTGAATTAATTCTAGGATCCAAAAAAGAAAAATGTTTTAAAACCAAGACAATGGAACTCATATACCTTTTTATCTGATCGACGCAGACACGCAGATCTTCATTCTGAAGTCTGAATTTAAATACAAACCTTCCGAGCCTGAAAATTTCTAAAATTGTATCGATGACTGGCAATTAAGCCGGCCTAAGTTCACTGCCTTTGGAACGCACTCCGTGAAATTCCTGGATAACTTTTCAACATGAGAGTTTTATTATTTCCAGTGAGCAATCTCTGAAATGGTCTCAAATTCCTTTTATTAAAACACACAAATTTTGAAACTCAGTAGTTCTTTTTCCTTAAAAGTAATCAAACACGGGTTAGGGCCCTTATTACTATAAAATGTAAACAGAATCTTCCTGCTAACTGTTAAGAGCTCCTATTTTCCAGAAAATTGAATCCAAGGAGATCTGATCGACAGTTTGCTCAAAAGCATACCATTCATTAGAGATAATGCCAGATTTTAGACATTATATTTAATTCTACATACAGTGTGCTTTTCATTACTCCACAACGACATTGGTTTATAAAGGAGATTAGAGAATTACTAAAATTTTTGGAAATGAAGATAGTTATAAAACATTCTTATACGAAATACCTACTTCAGCCATCTCTTCCTCTTCCTCCTCTTCTGAAGTCACTTCTTCTGTTGTCCCATTCTGAAAAGGAAAACAAATTTGCCAGTGCTACACGGACAGGCACACGCTGAGTACACGAGAAGACAGGGACCGAACTATCGAGCGCCTGTCACTACAGGTCCACTAACAGAGAACTTATTAAAGCTGAAACATTTACTTTTAAATCCAGCTTTGATTTGATAAATATTTATCAGCTTCTTAAAAAGAAGCAATTTTGACTAATTCAACTTAATAGATGCATTAGGAATAATGAAAGTAGTCAAGTATAAAGCGAAACTGAAAAGCATTTAAAGACATATTCTAATTTAAAATAAAAACACATATTACACAAGTGGCTATGTGTGGAACAAAGTCAATGGCTTCTTTCACTTAAAATAAAGATCCCAAACTACAGATTCTTTAAAATATCTGCCTTTGTCACTTTGACGAGCCTGAATCTTTCCATAAATTCGACTGCCTTTCATTTAAAAAGATCGAATGTGTTAAAAAGAAAGACACTGCGCAAAACTGAAAGTTAGAAAACGAGCATTTCCCTGCAGAGCTACCTCCGGTTTCTCCAGCACAGCAGGTGCTACAGAAGACTCCCCGACAGCGCGGTGACTGCTCGCTCACGGGGAGCCCGGTTTCAGCCGCGGCCTGCGCGCCGCGTGCTGGCGGAGCTCAGAAGACGAGTTCCTAGAGCGAAGCGGGGTGCTCCAGGGCACAGGACGCACGGCAGCATTTTTGCCCCAGGAATTCTTGCTATCTGTGCTCCACGCACAGCTGGTAAGGACCGCCCTCTGACACGGGAGGCCTACCGTGACAGCCCCGGCCCCTTAGGGTGGGTGCCAGAGTCGGAGAGGAAAGACAGAATCTTTTTAACGTGGCTCAATGCAGCAGCAAAATCACACACCAGACGCGTCTCTTCCTTTCCTCAGGAGCCGGAAAGTCCGCTGGCAGCACCGCAGGCTGAGCACAGGGGTGCAAACCAAGACAGACGAGTAACAACTGCTGAGGACACTCTCATCGATAACTGATGCTGGTCAACGGTTTATCTAATCTATAAACGAACAACCAACCAAGAATCACCAGGTATTTGAGAAAAACTATCTGAAAGAAAGACACCAAGTCACGGAAGCAGAACAAGTGACCTGAAGCATCACCGATGAAGGAAATAAAACAGTAAAAAATCCAGCTGGAATCTTAAACGGTAAGCGAGAAAGGACGGCGTCCACAAAATATAAAAAGGTTTCTATACAAAGGACGAGACCGTTCTGGAAAATCAAAGATTCCTCCCCCGCCAAGAGGAAAAGGAAAACCCTCGGCAGAAGGGCCAGACCGCACCACGAGCCCGAATGGACAAAGCATCCGCGACCGTCCCTTACGGCGGCGCGAACGGAGGCACGGGCGGGGGAGGCGGAACTAAGGGAAACGGAGAGCTAACATCACACAGAAGACGGGCGGGAAGAAACCAGAAAGACACGTGTCGCCAAGCTAAGGAAACACTTCAGACTATCAAGCGGCTCCGAACGCCCCCAAGGAATATGGAAAAATAAAACCCTGTACTTTGGTTAAATTAAAAAGCACACGGGCTTTCAGAAAGAAACCTAGAGAGAAGGAGCTAAGAATCAGACATGAGGCTTCTCGTCTGTAACAATGAATACTGGAAGAGAAAAGCGTAAAGAACTTGGAAGAGACCCGGCGACGAACTTAGACTCCCGCATCAGTACCATCGGGACAGAAGCCATCCCTGGGTGCTCAGCTCTGGGTACTCAGCACCTACAGAGCACGCGGAGTCAGAGGGATATATGTTGAATGAGTAATGAAAACAGACGCCGAGTATTCAAGGAACGGTGTCCACACACATCCCCATAAACCCTTTCCAGATGGGCCACCGTGGAACACGGACGCAGCAGCGCACAGGGCGACAGGGACACCGGTGGTTAAGTCTAAGCGCTTGCTGATAACACGGCTCAGCGGTCACAGGCCACAAGCTCTGGCCGCAGTGAAAAACTACCGCATAGAGCCCACAAGCCAACCGAGGAGGTTTAAATTTTTTTCTAAATAACTCTTGGTTTAAGAAGAAACTGCCCGGTAATCCAACTGTTAAGTATGTGTCCAAAGGAATGCTCGCGCAGGCGTCAAGCACAGTGACACGCGGACGAGCGTGATCGTGGCGGCGTCGCCCCTAACGGCAAACTGGAACCAACCCAAATGTCTGTCCACAGCCAAACGGGGAAAACGCCGTGACAGAGTCGGAGAGTGGGACAGACAGCGCTGGGAAAGAGCCATGGGACGAATGCGCATGAACTGAGCGAACGGCGACGCGGAAAGGCGCGTGCACCGCGCCGGGGACCGGCGGAAACGGCGGGGACTGGCCTCCGGGACGCGGCCCGCAGAGGCCTTCGGTGGGGCTGGCGATGCTCTACCCCTTCGCCTGGGTGTGGCTCTCAGGCGGCCCTCTACTCCTCACACTAACTGACGCTTCTATGCTTGCAATACACAGTACTAAAAACCCGTTCTCGTGAACCAGGATAAGATTAACGTGAACAAAAGGTGGAATCGAACTACGGAGCAGACACGAGCTATCTGGAAAATAAGCATCCCAACACCGAGGAGCTACGCCATGGGGTCAAAGAGCACGGAGAGGGAACTCAGTGACACCGACCCAGCAACCTGCGGAAGGAAAGGGATCATTCAGACCTGAGCGAGAAGTGAAAAAGAAAACATGAGACTCAAACAATAAAACTGAGGGCTGATTCCTTAAAAAATACACACACACACACACACACACGTGAAAACAGTCTCTGTAATGAAGGTGAGGAGAACGGCTTCAGAAATGGACCGCGACCACTGACGAAGATGCAGAAGGCGGCTACTTCGCACATTTCGACAACAGCTTCGAAGGCATGAAGTGATCACAGTTTTAGAATCTAAAATCACTAAAACTGAGTGAAGAAATGAAAAATCTAAACAGACTAATTCAGAAAAGAGAAAAACAGATCAGGCTCAGATGTTTATTTAAACCAGAGTTTCTCGACCTTGCAACTACTAACATTTTGGGCCGCACGGTCTTCCTGCGGGGCCGTCCTGACATTATAGGATGTTTAGTGACATTCCCTCTGCCACAGAATGCCAACAGCAACCCTGCGGCCAGTTGTGACAACCAAAAATATCTACAGATATTTCCGAATGTCCCACGGGAGGCAAAATCGCCCCCAGCTGAAAACTGATTTAAACTGTCCTAGATCTTAAGACCAAAAAAAAGCTTCCCAACTCATTTTGTAAAACCGCATAACCCTGAGACCGAAAGGAAACGAGAGCCTGAAGAGAAACGAACAAGACTGTACTGCAATCGATCGAACTTGAAGGAGGAAAACCCCAAAACGCAACCTGTCACATCCATCGTGCGCATGCCACCCGCGGCAATCGGGTGCCGGGTGTTTCTCATGGGAATGCAAGGCTGACGCAAACCCAGGACGCTCCCTCGCGTAAGCCGCAGGCGACGTAACACGCCCGCGTGGAATTACACACGCAGCCATGGGAAACAAGGCAGGTGACACGCACTGCGCCCGTGACATAGTCTTAAGTGAAAACGTAAATTGCAGACATTCCGGAGAAGGAGCTGGAACACGGAGGACACCTGTCCCGTGCCCTCTCTTTCCTGAGGTGCCACTGGAATCACAGCGAAGAATAAACACAGTCTAAACACAGTGACATCGAGAGGAAGGGGGCGAGCAACAGAGAGAGAACTCGCTCGTGCTGCACGACGACAGTACGTGGAGGAGGGGGAATGACAGGGAAGACAAGCAGAGCCACCAGCTGGGGCACACAGAAGGCAAGGGGGAGGCTGCCTGTCCCGCGGCGCCCCGCAGCCGCTCCAGACTCCGAGACGCCGGCAGCACGAGACAGCAGGGGCGGCGGACAGGGCTGAAGCCAGAGATCAACCAAAAGCCTGGACACGGAACACACCGTCCAGCCCCAAAACACACAGCTCCCCCCACCTGCACGAACAGAACCCAGGCAGACATATATCTACCGGAAGCAAGAGGTTATACGGTGTCATGTCCAGAGACCCCACGTGGGACCAGCCATCATTTAACGTAATGGCAGGAAGCGGTGACGGGACAGGAGTGGAACTCAGCTTAAATTCCCCCTAAAAGCTACCAGCTGACAAGTCGTGGCCGCAAAGAACTCCCAGTCGACCTTGTGGGACCTCTCTCAAACGTGAAGGAAAAAAAGAGACAAAGAAAAAAATACGCATGAGCGACACGGGCTAGACAGATATCTGAGGAATGTCTTCAGAAAGAAAAACGAGACCAAGATAAACTATTTAAAAATTTGTTAAAGACAAAATCGAGATGCTAGAGAGAGGACAATATCAAAGCACTTCCTTAAAGACACTTACGAAGATAAGATACTACATCTATAAAACAAAAACAGCATGCGGAGAACCAGAATAAGCTCCTAGTACACACCGCTCACCTTTGGAGAGGAACCCAGTGAACCCCATCTGCAGCATTCGTCCCCCTACAGGGTCCCCTCGCACTGGGCTGGCCCTGTGTCTTGTGCTAATCGATAAATGTGGTGGAAAGGACACGGGGACAGCTCCCAATCTAGGCCGTGCGAAGGCCTGCCAGCTTCTATTTCTGTGCTCCTGGAAGCCAAAAAATAAGAACTGTGAGTACCTTCCTGAAAAACAAGCACAGGAAGGGTCCTGGAGGATGAGACGCCACATGGACAAGGGACACGGGAAGAAACACCGAGGTGCCAGACGGCTGTGTGAAGAAGCCCTGAGGGCCACCCCCTGCAGACGTGTCCCAGTGAGCACAGTCCCAGCCGCCGTCTGTGCACAGCGAGGCCGGCGAGGCTTTGCCAAGCTGTACACTCAGGAGACACAGAAGCAAGGGTTTCAAGCCACTCAGTGCTGGGGGTAACTGGTTAAGCAGCAGTAAAGAACCAAAACAAAACAAAGTTATGACTGTCCCGATAAAACTTCCGAATGTTGAAAGATGAGAAAACCTTCCAGAATTTGAAATTAAATGACAAAAAAGACTATAAAGATGATGCACTCCTGGCAGCTCCAGGCCGAGACGAGTGAGGCACGGAATGGAATCGGCCCAACACCGCCACAGTCCCACGTCCCGGGGGAATCCCCTTCGACCTGGAATCTGCATTCAACCACAACGGACCAAGTGCGGGGGCACGGGGACAGCGGCCGACACGCGCTGGGCCCTCCCCACGCTGCGCCGCCCTGCGGGACCGAAGTGAACCGACTCACTTATCGTCACGGCTCTCCCGAACTCGGCTTCTGCTGCTAGACCCCCCCTCTGCAGAGGGGACACTGATGCGCACGGAGACGAGGAAATGGGCCCGCGCGACAAGCCGGCACAGCTGAGGGGCCGCGGAGCCCCTCGCCTGAGAATCTCACCTGAGGACGCGCTTGGGCAAGATGCGAAAGGTGAGCGAGAAAGCTGGCCTGAGGCCAGAAAACAGGGGCCTTGCTGCAGCCGAGGGGACAAGAGAAGTTTCAGGGTGACGGCTGTGCGGCCAGCTCCGAGAACCCGCCAAGACGGGTGCGGAAGCAGCAAAAGCTGCAGGAGACAGGGAGACCTCACGGACATGGGGCCGAACAAAGAACGGCCACTGTCACTTAAGAGAGGCATTCCTCGGAGGCCTGACGATTCCCACGCTGTCTCCTGCTCGGAGGAGGTAACGTTCGCGCCTCAGGCTTAAGAAGATGACGTTCCAGGCGAAGTTAAATGATCAGCAAAAGCAAACTACTGAAGAAGCAAAACGAAAAACTACAAGAAAGGAAACATCGTAACAGAAAAGTCTCCCCTGCCGAGGCCTAACCGGAAACAGTGACTATTCACGCGCTGAACAGCACAGCGGTTTAGGAAGGGGACGTTGGTGCGCAGGTGGGTGGCGAAAGGGCCAAATCCTCATCTAATCCAGCACAAAATCAACAAATTAAGCCTGAACAGGTAAATGCAGAAAGCCAGACAAGTCAGAGGGGCGGTGAGCTGGGCAGAGGCGACATTTGGGTCAGGCCTTCAGAAGCACCCACGGGCTTACGGAGATGTCGCTCCAGGTGAAGGGGAATGAATCTGCACAAGCAAAGGACTGAAGCGGCAAGGGACAGTTAAGAACCAGGAATGTCATCACGCCAGAGGGCGGTGGTGGGAGGGGCCGGTTGTCTGCCTGTCATGATAAACAAATGCCAGCAGCTGCACAAAATGCAAAGGTTATTTTCGGTGCCTACAGCAAAACAACAAAAACAATTCAACGACAAAAACTAACTGCTAAATAGGTCGTATAATAAATGAAGAAAAAGCATCCTAACTTTACTTTTGCTCGAGACAATTTATTTTAGCTCTTGATCACCAGAGAAATGTTACTTTACCTGACCCGTGGGTAGTGGTTGATCTAGCATCTCAACATCCAGGTGCTTAGGAAGGTTATATAATCTGCAGAGTTCACATATCAACCACTTCAATTGCTGACGAAGCTACAAAACACATTTCAGTAAATGAGCATCATGGTAAAGAGCCCTCGGGAGACAAGAATAACGCTATGACTACCGTAACCTATCCAGCAGGAAGTGAGGAGAGTCTGTTCCCGGCCACCTACGGCCTGCGGATAAAATAACGAGTGTGCGCGGCACCGCCGTGGGGGCTGCCGGCGTGGGGACCGGCCCCGGCGCGAGTGCGGCCCCACACTGCGAGCTGGCAGAGACACCAATGAAAAGGCCGAGAACGGGGGCTGCGGCCACCGTCCCTCCTCAGTCGCCAGCTTCTCGTCTGGGGAACTGGGCGACCTCAGACGGGTGCATCGGCACGTGACTGCAAAAACAGAGGAAGCACTGCCGCCCGTGGATCAGGAAATCACGTGACCCACAGTCGCATGCATTTAAAAGTTCAGAGCAGCCGTGGTCTAGCAGACTGAGCCTTGGGACCTAGAGGGCTGTGGATACAGAGCCTAGCTCCCTGAGTGAGTGTCCCATTCGTAAAACAAGAACATTAAACCTTCTCGTAATGGTAAAGAGTAAATGAAATCTTCCGTGAAAACACTTGGCACTTAGTAGGCCCTTCGGTGTTTGTCAACTGCGAAAAATGATGCCTTGAGTTTCCATTTTGACATCGACTGTTTTGTGAGCATGTGTACTTTAAGAAGATAAATTATGTGCACGCAGCTTTCATTGTTTAAAAATGGTTTTCGATGTCTGAGTTTGGCAATGATGGTTTAAAAGAATGGTTAATACTCGGCAGACTGGACTGGGAGCTAGTAAGGCGACTCACTCCACTTGGTCAGAAAGTTTCCTGGATGTCTCCGGTCAAGAGAAGAGATCAAGAGAAGGAAGCAGACTTAGGAAGGACTAAGAAGAACACAGATAAAAGATCGGAACGGGTTCACCAAAGCGCAGAACGAGCTTTCCCCAAGCGGACAGTGGAGCGAGCAGAAATGAGGAAAACAGAGCTGAAAATCAGGATCGAAAAAAACAGCCTCAGGCTTAAAGGCAGCAAAGCCCCTCCGTGGCTTCGTTATCCACCCTGTGGGCTCTGTTTTGTGCTAAGTACACGACAGAGACGAGGCAGGGTGACCTGGGCACAGACCCGGGCACTCCAACCCCTGGCACAGGGGGAGCTACAGGACTGCGTGGCAGAGGCCGCATGTGGTGGAGTCGTACCCAGCAAGAAGGAACAGGGTGGCGCCTCTTCCAAGAATTTCAACTTTACGCTCCAGCAGAAATGCGTGTGAGGGAGGCGGGCAAGATCACAGGGGAGGGCTTCAGAAACGGTCAGAAGGTAGATGGACGGGTCTTAGGACGACCTAGATAGTTTGGGGCGGGAGTCAGGAGCGTGGGGGTGAAGAAGAGCTCTAGGGTGGTTCGCGGGCTCGGCCAGGAGGCCGAGTTCCGTGACTGCGTTTTGTCCCGTTCACCATCACAAAGACAATTACTGAGGGGAACCGTGATGGGGCGCTGGCGAGCCGGGAGGCGGACATGTTCGAATTCCTACGTGACCAGTTTGAACCACCACGGCACGTCCCAGCCAGGGTCCCTGGACCTCCGCGGCATAGATGCACACGGGCTTGAAACTCAGGAGATACCTTTTAGCTAGAGATGCAGATTCAGGAATCCCTGGAACACAGGCCACGATTTCAGCAACGAGAGGAGAAGAGGTTACTCAGGGAAAGCACAGAATGAGAAGAGGGAGGCGGGTACTGACAGATGGAAACGGGAGACAGCGCCCTCTTGGGGGTCCTCACTAGATGATCGGTTCCCAGAGGTCAGGAATGTGACTTGTATTTTGTGCCCACCACTGATCAGAGCCTGGCACAGAAACCAGGCAGCTGGAAACAATCTTCTGTGTCCTACTACGACCTGCATCCGCCAGGGCAAAGCGCGCATGAGGCGGCGCGGGCACAGATCTGTCAGAGCGCCACGTGCAGGAGCGGCCAGCTTCCAGGCGATGCCCAGGCTTCGCCTTCTCAGCTGGCCTGTCTGGGAAAGTTCACGTGCCCTTGTGGAAAGGCTGACTCCATCCTTTTTAACTGCAACGTGATGTTCTACCATAAAACTACACATAGTAGTTTTTATGTAAGCGGCTCTTGATTGGTGGACATTGAGTAATCAGTGTCGAACAGAGGAAATGTCTCAACGAGAGAACAGCCGACAGCGAACAGGGCAGAGAGGTCGGTTTAGGATAGAAAAAGGAGTCGCTGGATCTGGCAACTAGAGACAAAAAATTTTAGTGCAGAGATGAAAGCAGAATCCAGGTCATAATGAATGAAGCAAATTAAAGGTGAGGAAACAGCTCATTCTGTCAAGAAACAAGGCTATGAGGCAACTGGCAGAGACCGTGAGAAAGCGTGGAGGGTACGTTTTGTTTGGTTTGGTTTCTTTTATGTAAATGTATTTACTTTTTTATAAACTTAGACCCAATTTGTATTTTATGTCATTTTACTCTATGAGCATTTCTGATGTAATATTTTAGACGCTGCGAAATAACCCCACTCATTCCTACTATTACAAAACCTGTATCTTCCGGTGTCAGACAAGGAGGCAGAGCCGGGGCGCTGACTGTCGCCCCATGGACAGGCGAACGTGCCAGGCGAGCGACTGATTAGGACCCCGTCCTGCGTGGCTCTCAGACGGGCCTTCGCTCGGAAAATACTCCGCACTGACGGCCTTCTGACCGCACTGTAAGGACAGGTGCAGTAAGCCGCCTACAGTTTATGTGGACAAAATCTGAGGTCAAACTCTAACTTCCCCAAATGGTCAGTCCTCCCAGTGCTGTCCAAGTGGATGACCTGTCCTTTCCTTACGTCGCATTGTAACTCCACTTACTCCAAATCCGCAACTGCCTTTCCCTGCCCAGTCCAGCGCCAGGGCTCAGTATTTTATTTAATATCTAGTCAAACGAGCCTCTCTCTTCATGACTTTTTGTTAACTTAATTATTATTTTTTATTATTTACTCTTCAGAACAAACTTGTGCTTTCTTTTGTTGAGTTCCAAAAATAAGTCTGTTTGAGTTGTCACTGGACTTGCATTCACTTTATAAATTAAGCTTCATTAAGAAAATCATTAACACATTTTCAGTGCACAGCCCACCCACCCGGGTCAAGTCTTTCGTTCCACTCAGCAAATTCTTCTGGATACGTGGCCTGTGCATCTAAGCTCATTCCTAGGTACTTAACCATTTCTCATTTCATCGTGATTGTGAACAACATACTTTTCCACTATACTTTGTATTTGACTCTAGCTGGTATTGTGGGAAACGATCGGTTTTTATTTAATAGCGTTTTTAACTAATCATCTTAAAAACTTTTTTCAGTTGGCTCCTCTGGACCTTTTTTTTTTTTTAGGTGAACAATCTCATCACCTGCAAATAATGACTGACGTGTTTCTATAAGAACTTTATGATGTCATGGAAAAATACAACGATAATGCTAACTTTAAAATAGGATATAAAATGATATAGAATAGGACCTCGGCCTCAATTATTTAAACACATGTACAAGAGTATATGTATTTTACTAGCAAGGGAAAAAAATAAGGGAAGAAAATAGACATGTAAACAATGGATATAACACCGGGTAGAGAAATTATGGAAGATTTTTCATCCTCCCCTTTTTTTTTTTGCTTTCCTAGTTTTCTCACAATGGTCAATTATTAGTTTTATAATCCAAGAAAACCAGTTTTTGATTTTTTTTGTAAAATGGAAAGTTACCTATCTTTCTATATTCAAAAAAAACCTTTTCACCTGCAGACGTCTGGTTTTTGCTACAGTCCCAGACTCTTGACAGAAAAAGCAGTTCCCTGCACTAGCACTGCTGCGGTTCCATCACCGTTTCCCCTCCCCGCGGCCTTGCGGTCTTCTCCCGCTTTTCCGCTCCCCGCCGTGGCTGGTGGGCCCCACCAAGAACGCTCGCTTGATTTAATGGCTGGAATTCATGGAAAAGAGACCACCTAACTCCTGACTCAAATTAAGACTATGCTTATGGGTAGTAAGAAAGAGAAGCCAAGAAGTAAATAGTAGAATTCGAAGTACTCAAAGAAAAACAAAACAAACCCAAAGCCTGGTCTTCGGCTCTCTGAGATGACCGAGTCTTTCGTTCATTCATCAGGCTTTTATGTCACGTTACCTCTTAACATTTAAGTTCTACATATAACTTAATGAGGGGGAAAAAATAAGAAAGTAGTGTGGCTTATTTTCTCACCGAATTGTTGATCTCAGTATCTTCTAGACGTTCCAGAACCGATGTCAGATTTGGGTCATCGGAGTCCACAAACCATATCGGCGAAGATGATGGATAAGATTCCTGTTACAGAGACACCTAATTAAAACACACTTACAACGGGCTGACCTGGATATGCAATTAAAGCACACCGCTAAATGTATGAGAACCACAGGTTTCGGTAAAATCTGTCAGAGGAAGAAAAGCAACACATTAAAATGCATGTGCGGAGAAACAAATCTCTTAAGGGTTAAAAACGAACAAAGTTTTATGGTTTAATCTTGCCAGTCCCAATGTTATATAATTCATAAGTCTAAAAACGAGCAAAAAAAGGGCTTTACCCGGCAAGGAATATGATTTAAAACACACAGAAGAGCGTACACTGCACAAGTTGTGTTTTATCTAAAGCGGAAAACAGCATCAGGGCCGAGGAAGACGGACTCCCCTCCATCACGGTCTGGATTCCCGGCTTTCAGACAGCGTAAAGCTTTGAAAATCTGGAACCGTAACAAATCTTACAAAAAGCAAAAGAAAAAAAAAAACGAAACAAACACCCCAACCCCGAAGCACAGTCTACAGAGCTAAGCCATCTCACTTCTGCCTTCTTACCATAATAAAGCCGTATCGCTAAATTACCCAGATGAGACCCCTAAGTTTTTCAAATAAAGCAAAGGAGCCCGTGGTCTTAAATCCTTACGAATGTTGAAAATGATTTTTAAAAAACTTTTCTATTCGCTATACTCCTTGCTTCTGAGTAGTCTAATTACAGAAGATACTTTGAGATTTCTCTCCATTAAAAAATTTGGCCGAAAATCAATGCCATTTAATTTTGCCTTTTTCCTAATAACTTGCCATTCCTTCATAGACTGCGGGGAGGAAGGCAGTTTCCTAAGGTTAAGATTACTTCGTAAATGGAGCAGGTGTGGGAAGGCGGAACAGCGACACAGCCGCCAGAGGCTCCGTGAGCTGTCACTCGCCACCGGAGTGGGGGTCCGAAACAGGCACTCTCCTTGTGTAGCCACCGTCTGCGTGCGACAGCTCAGAGGTCAGCGATGGTCTGGACACTACAGCAGCCTGCCTCGACCAGGACCCAGTGACCGTGACCTCCTGTATTCACACCCTGTGTAATTCCCTCCCCTAGGCCTAATGACACACTCCTAACAAACAGAGCGCAGCAAAAGTCTTGGGGTGTCACCCCTGAGGTCGAGAATCTCGGTCACCCTCTCCCGCTCTTATATTTGTTTCCTCTGACGGAAACCAGCTCTCTGTGGAGAGGCCCCCGTCCACGTGGCGAGAGCCGAGAGAGGCCTTGACCAACAGCCAGCCAGAAACAGAGGCCCCCACGGAGGCCCCCATGCGACAAACCCCACCCGCGACCACAGCAATGAGCCCGGAGGCGGACTCTCTCCCAGGCCGACACCCTGAGACACCCTGACTGCCCGACATAGACCCAGGGCCGGGGACCCCAGGTCATGCTTGTCGTGTTAGGCTGCTAAACACGGTACAGAGCAGTGGGTGACTCATTCAGACGCCACACACTTCCAACACTATTCCAACACACACAGTGCGGACGACCAAGAAATGCCTTTACTCCGCGTGTATTTTTAAAAGCGCAATCGCAGGTGTTGATTTTAACGAGTTAGCTAAGCATCGCGTGTTCTCACGCCAAAGACGTTTACTCTGTTCGTTTGTACCGTTTTCTCTTATAACTTAGGTAAAAACCGTTATTAGATACTAGCTACAGAAAATTAAGTTCTAGTCATGGAAAAATAATTATTTTGCACAAACAGTCTTAAAGAAGCGTTGCTTTGAGAACTATAATCCCCATTGTAACGTAGCTGAGAGCATGTTCGGAAAGCATCTTCCCGACGTCCCGCACAGAAGGCCGGCGCGGCAGAGCTGTTCGCGCCGCTCCCACCCCTCCACCTCTCCCCAACCCCTCCACCTCTCCCCCACCCCTCCACCTCTCCCCTACCCCTCCACCTCTCTCCCACCCCTCCAACGCTCGCTGGGTCCCGAAACCTCTTTCCGGGCCAAAAGGTAAACTGTCTTCGAAATGCGTCCTGTTTTTAAAGAAAACTACTTATTGAGTGTTGCGTTTTCGTCTTCAAATTCTTCAGCCTACTTTGGAACATATCACCTGGACTATTTTCATTATAGTTCTGTATTTTCTTTAGCCTTAAAAAAAAAAAAAACCGCTGCATTTAGGGCTTCATTGTATAGATTACTGTTTGTCTAGGAAACATCCACATGAGCAAAATAAAATCTATGAACCGTTGCTCCGGACTCAAACCCCTCAAAACTATATTACATGAGCTGCAAAATATACGAAGAGGTTGGTTACTGCCCGCGACGTGTGTTCCCAACGCTACGCACGAGAAGACAGGACACGTAGTGGGTCTAAGTACAAAGCGGGGCAGGCGCTCGGACGCCCGGGTCTGGACTCCTCTGCAGGAACTGACATGTCAGTTGCCTCCTTCGCGGTACTGACAGTGGCGGGAGTGACACACATACAATGGCGGGTGAGACGGGTGGCAGCTCGGCACAGGCGAAGGCAGTGACAGCGAGCCGTACTTAGCACGGCCGTGGTATTCTTCACCGCCCAGCATTCGGGTTCTTAAAAGAAAAAAAGAAGGTGCTGCATTTAAGAATGTCTGTGACGAAGCAGTAAAAGGCACGCTACTAACTCTCCGTCCTTACACGGGTCTTTTTAACGTTGAAAATGCCGAAAGGGGACGCGGTCCTACAGAAGACCCGAGGGACGCAGGGCGAGCCGCGCTGACCACTGGAACAGAACGGCTTTTTCACGTGAGAGGGTGACTGACACGGTGACTCCAGCCTGGGCTTCCTGACAGACGTCTTCTCAAAAATGAATGAGGAGAGCCCGTCACTTCAAGGAGAACAAAGGGCAGCATTTATTGCCAATAAGAAAATTCAGGCTTCCAAGCAAAAATTCAAATTCCAGACAACCTCTATCCACCGCTGAATCTGACGGCTTCCCAAGAGTAGGGTCGATCGATGGTGATGTCAATGAATACGTTTTCATAGCATGTGATGAAACGTGTCAACATTTAGAGGATTTCAGAGAACCAATATCTTCCAAATGGCCAACGCATGATGTAATATCGTGCAAGGGTCAAATATTCATTCGAAGTTCAAGAAAAGACCAACTATTGGTGGAGTAGCCGAAAAGAAAAACAAAATTATCGAAAATGGCTATTAAAATATTTTTCCCAACCAAATACCTGTGCGAACTAGATTTCTTCATATTATTTCAACTAAAACAATGCAGAAGCAAATGACAGGACAGACATCAAAGACATTTACAAACGTAAGATTGTTCTACTCTTCTCGTTAGAATTTTCGGATTTAAAAAACATGGTCATTTTTCGTAAAAACATTTACATTAACATATAATGAGCGTCTTTTAATGAACTGATCTTTCAAATATTTGTTTTAATTTCTAGTGATAAAAATACCTACATAAACAAAAGCTCCTTGGGCCCTCAAAACATTTTTAACATTATAAAGTTCTGACCCCAAATACTTTGAGAACCGCGCCTTCCACAGACGCCCATTCCCCCGGCTCTCAGAATTTCTTCTCGGAAAGACATCTCTTCGCCGTCTGCATCAACTTAAGCGGCTCCACGGGGGCTAGTCTTCCTACCTCCGTCCCTGCCCCAAAACCTGGTGACAGGTTTCTACGAGCCCACTCTACCCCCGGTGGCTGGTTGTCAGATGGGCTGAGCCAGGAAGAGATGGGTCTTCCCTGGGACCAGGGCTCTCTCTTGGAGATCTGGAGTCACAAGGACAATGTCGGCCGGCCCGGGGTGGCCGGCATTTATCTTGCCAAAACAGGGAGGGTTACGTGAACCAAGCTGTTTTCCGATGGGTCACCGATATTTATACTTTCTGCCATGACTGTGAGAATGCCTATTTCACTGCACATTTGCTACAATTTTTATTCGTCTGATAAAGGCTAAAATAATTTGTTACAACTTCTCCAGAGTCCCATTTATCAATAAGAATGCAAAGCCATCATCGCCTCTAGAGATGTTTCAAAGGACATTATTATCTATATGCACAAGGATCTAGCATAAAATAATGTTCAGAGCATCATTTAAAATAGGAAAAATAGAAACCACCTTTACGTCCAACACCAGAAGACACGATCGACTCAATGCTATAGCCACACGACAGAACAAGGTCGCCGTAAATGCTCTGTTGTTCTAATCTGAGGCAACACAACAAAGAGGTTCAGCAAAACAACCTCTCCACCTGTCACTGCTTAAGAAAAGGAATTTCGGTCTTGTTCAGAAATAACTTCCTGTACCTATTTTCTACATAAATCCACTAAGGCCGACGTGAGTCTCCACACCAAGCAGCAGCCAGCGGACTGGCTGCCAGACGCTGTTCGTGGCATCTTCCCAAATGAGCGGACATGACCATCTCCAAGGGTTTCATAACTGTTTGAAAACTGATGCACATACTTCCTGTCGAAGGGTCAGCGGTAGAACGGTTAGAATCTTTTTGGAGATCGGTTATGGGACACAGTACGTTCACACTTTGCTGTTCAGTAAACGTGGGGCGGACAATGAAACTGGCAGAAGCACCATACAGTACCTCAGTAAATTCTAAATGCTCTGATGATTAAAAAAAAAAAAAAAGCTACAAAGAAAGAAGGGAAGCAGAAAAATTTCTCCCTGCTAATCATTTTACAAGTGAACAAAGTGTCTAACGTGACCAGAGCCCACAGAAGCAGAGTAAAAACACTAACACCTGGTAAAAGGATAATGTCTACATATCTTGTGACCTGGAAAACGCTTAAGTGTTCTGTGCAGCAAATTACAGCTCATCGACACATCACTCTAAGTGAACTGAGGCGAAGGAGGCACATGTGCCGAAGAGGGTTCCAGCCACCTGACCCGCAGGAACTGCTGGCTGGTCTCCTTGCCTCTGAGTGGGCTCTGCCTTCCAGAATGGCGTTCAGAAGGCCGCAGAGAGCGCTGCGACGACGAGCTCGGGAAGGGGGACCCGCCTCGTCGCTCCTGCTCGCCAGTGCTTTACATTTGGCAGTGACT